GAGAGAGAGAGAGAGAGAGAGAGAGAGAAGGGAGGGGGGTATGGAGAGAAAGAAGGTGCCAGAGAAAGAAGGTGCCTGCCTTCATTATTAGGCTGTGGTTGATTCAGAAAATTATCAATTTTAATCAATCAGGTTGACTAAAACATGTACAAGTGGCTTCAATAGCCTCGTGGTTAAGTCACTGGACGCGTAATCTTGAGGTTATGGATTCGTGGGTTCGATCCCCAGCTCGGTCCGAAGTTGTGTCCTTAGCAAAGGCACTGTACACACATTTTCTATTTGGCGCGGCCTTTCGGAGATAGAGGTTAAACTCTGAGGTCTCGCCTCTTAAATAACCTAAATAGTGTTTATAGGGGCGTAAAATACAGCATTCCATTTGACAAAAACACTTATTGGCCTTCAACCTTACTTGATCAAGACGCTTGATAAGATTAATTTTCAAAGTTAATGTAAGTGTACGAGCCAATTTGCTACCTCAGAATGACAAAGTACTATCTGCTCAGTACCTGGCTTTGAGAAAATTGACGTCACAGATTTGGATTCTCCACATCAAATCTAGCTTTTTCGAATGCAATTCTTTGAACATCTTGATAACAACTCCGAATAAACTTACGATTTCGATAGAGCAGATAGAATATTTGGTTCCTGACCCACGGTCTTAGTAACTTAAAATGGCCAAAAATGTCAAGCAAGAACTTTGTGATTCTGAGGTAGCGGTTTTGCTAACTTGATTTTACCACACGTATTGTTCTCCCCCACCAGGGCAGTGTTACTGACTGAAGTTGACTTTAGGCCATTCCCAAAGGGTGGATATTGACATGTTCTTAAACACAGTAGAATTGTAAATGGGTTGATTTATCAATATCATGATCATACTTTGCCGGAACAACATAGGGGGAACTGCTGCCTTTTCTCTCCTCATCCTTACTATCGTCATTTTTCCTCTACTTCTTTTGTATGTTTGTCACTCTCTTGTGAACTGCTATTTCCGGGGTGCCTTGACAGTCGAAGCAGACTTTGCGCTGTTGAGGCTAGAGAGGTGAGCAGAGTAAGCCTGATTCCCCGTTTGGACTTATCTGTTAACATCCACCCCTTGGCGCTCATATTATGACCTTATGCAGTTGCGAGCGTCGTTAAACCTTCACTAAAACTAAACTAAAAACAAGTATTGTAAACGAAAATCACTCCCTGCCTCTTTGACTTTCACCTTGGTACTGTGTATAATTATTCTGTCAAGAAAAAACGTCTTTGTTTTGGGCAATCTTCTCTACCTCAAGCCAGCTGTGCCCCGTTTGTCTGAAATCTGTTTCCGAGAAAGAAAGAAAGAGAGAGAGAGAGAGAGAGAGAGAGAGAGAGAGAGAGAGAGAGAGAGAGAGAGAGAGAGTTTGTTTTTGTTTAAGTAAAGAGAAGCACATAAATAAAATAATGGCCATTCAGTGCTGGGAAAAAAGTAAGACAGATAGACAAAAACAACAGGGGTGAAGTAAAAAAGTGAGACCTTCAAGTGGCGTCCTCCAACCAGCCGCAGAGAGAGAGAGAGAGAGAGAGAGAGAGAGAGAGAGAGAGAGAGAGAGAGAGGGGTAATTTACCTGCCCAGGCAGTTATAGTGAGTTATACTTTTATCACAGCAAACAGCAAAAAATCAACTCAAAGGAAGAAACTCTCTTTCTCTCTCCCCGACACAGCTGTCGTTATTGATTGTTGAAAAAGCTCCTGCACACATATATTTTCAAGGAACCGATAATGACATACGTGTATAGCAAAACAAGACAGGGTGTCATAAAAGTCACAGCCGTGCACCGTTGTGTGTATGTTCACACAACAAAATGACATAAAGCTGCACCGTTCTTAAAACAACACATACGTCATTGTATTGCGTGAACACTTCATTGCTTTCACTTTATCTGGTCATGTGTGCGGGCTAACGAAAGTGTGGAACCACCCCCCTTTCAAAATCTCCTGCGCATTCTCACTCCACCCACCCCGCCCCACAATCTCCCGCACATTCTCACCCCAACCCCCCCTC